CTCTGTGATGAGGCTCCAGGTGAGTTTCACAGTAAGAGCTCTGACACACCAGGCACATCTTCAGCGCTTTCATCTTTATATCATCACAGACGTCACAGAGAACCTCAGATTTACTCAGACCAGACTTTTCCTTAAAGTGCTGCACAACCTGTCTGAGTGCTGTGTTGATCTTGAGGTCGGGTCTTTTACTGAATGTTTCTTTACACAATGGACAGTTGTAGATCTGACTGTTGTTCCAGCACTGGTTCAGGCAGCTCTTACAGAAGTTGTGTCCACATGGAGTGCTGACTGGATCAGTGAACACATCCAGACAGATCGAACACTGGAGCTCATTTGACAGAGCTGAAGAGGATGATGAAGAAACACCATTTATCATCTAAATTGATCATTGGTTTATAAATACAAAGCAAATGATTATATCAAGAAACAAAACTCATCAACAATTAGGATCTCATGAAAGAAAAATAAATTCTAACTCATTGTCATTTGATATGATTTTATGACACTTTTCATATTATCATCCTTTCTTTCATTCTTTCTTTAGGTTACTGACATAATGGAGGTGCATCCAGACTCCTCCTTCTCGTCTCGGTTGGTTTTTGTGCTGCTGATGAAAATTCTGCCATCACTCAGAATTTCACTCTTTTTGCTCTATTCACAGTAAACAAAATATATCTCATGAAATATGACCAGGAAACATGTGAATATAGAAATGTCAAAGTGATTTCATAAACTGTTAGCAGTCAAACATGCTGTTCGGGTACAAAGTACACATGAGTACAAAGTACACTGATCAAAAAGAACTGGTTTTTAGAGTGTTGACTTGAATAAAAAAAAAAGGATACAAAAACTAAATTGATCACAGAATCTCAAACCTGGCTGCATTTAAATGTTTATTTTTAATTCAATAGTTTATTAGTTTAGTTTTTTTTTTTTTACAGAAGTAATTACAAATTATTGGAAACAAATGGGGCAAAAGAAAACAATATCAAGTATCAAAACCACAAAATGTTTTCACACAAATCAGTAAAATATCAATGTAAAACATAAGCATAGTTTTTACCTTCAGCTTTCAGTTTGTCTGCAGTTCATGTACTTCCTGATTCTGTTGTGCGACAACGTTTCTGCACACATCAAACTTTAAATCACAATCCACAAATGATGTTCTCTTAATACAATTTTGATACCATTTCAGTGAATATATGTTCTGTTGTTTAAAAGGACTATTTTGCCAAATTGTTCAGTTTAGTTTTCCATGCACTGAAAGCTCTCACCTGTAGTAATGTCACAGCTCCTCCCTTCTCTTCTCAAGGAAATGAAGCACGTCAAAGTGTACCTCTGTATGTACCTCAGTGTGTTAGATAATAATGTTTTGTCACAAATTATATAGCATATTTCTTCACATACTGTTTGCATTTGCATAAGTTTTAACATTAAAATCATTACTTTAATATTCAATATTAATTACCTTAGGTTTGTGCATTTAAAAACTGCTGTGGCACATTCTGCATTATATTTATCAGCACTTTTCTACAGATGAAAAAGTAGGTAAAAAAGCATCACAAACTCCACTATTGACCAAAAAGCATGAATGGATGCATACTTTGAAACAGATGATAAACAATCCAGGTGACATACTACTTCAATCATGCATTTTATTCCAAGTGGGATGCAATAACCTTCACATTATATACGGTATGGTACAGATATTACAGGATGCATCTTGAGACCTTGAATGTATCTGAATCTAAAGTTTACATAAATTTCAGTTTCCTCTAGCAAAACTTGTACACTTTATTATTATTATTATTATTATTATTTAAATAAAAAGTAAAAGCTGGAAAACCACTGAAAATATAAAAATGACATCTCTTCATTTAGCAAGTATTCATAGCAATAAAAACTTATTTTCATGTTCATTTTCTTGGTGTAAATTCGTTCATTGTATCTGACGTGAGATGATCAGTGGTGTTGCAATTTTACCTTTTTCATTCTTACAAGGGCTAAAGAATGGAAAGAGTTTCTCAGTGAAAGACTGACTAGTGAAAGAAAAAATATGAGATCTGGATTCCACATCATAAAAGGAGACCAGACCCTCCTCGTAATCCACAAACACACCTACGACCTGAGGCTTCACTCTCAACGACAGAGGGACAGGGGAAGACTCACCAGCCAGATAATTATTCCCATTCCTCAGAACTACTATCCAGTATCCAGCTTCTGGGATTGCGGTGATAATTCCCTTCCTGTTAATGAATTCACTGGCCACTCCTAAATCCCAATCAGTCATTCCCTTTACCTGCACCTCAAAATAAAACCTCCCTGAGCTGAATCCCTCTTTTGCCAGGACACAGGGACAATAATCAAACCTCTTTGGGTTGTCTGGGAGTTCAAGCTTAATATCTCCATATCTCACTTGTTTTCCATGATCAAACAGAATGAGATTTGGATGAGCTGTATCAGGATCCAGAGTCACATCCACTAAAAGAGAGAGATAAGATATAAAAAAACATCTTCACAATACAACAAATTATATTTGTTTAATATGGAAAAAAATTTATTGTCTAGACCTTGGTAAAGTTCTTATTTGTGACAATGTGAATAAGCACATAATAATTGTACCTGCATGTTGCTGTATCCTCTCCAGCACTGTGGAAACAAATAACTATAAAATATTATGACAGAAGTTTTAATATGATACAAGAACATTGTGTGTTCAGTTCCTGTTCTCTGATGGAAGTTTGTGTCTCTGCTGGTTTTTCTTATTGCTGCTTATAAATTACTGACTGTTACAGCCACTGAGACTTCTCACCAGCCCCCTCATTATATAACTACCACCCAAATATTGAACCGCGTGGTTCTTGGACTTCATTTCCCAGTATGCTCTGCCTGGACTTGTTATTGGTACCAGTTGTTCATCATTTATCATTGTACTATTTATACATATTCTGCTCATTTGCTACTGCAACAGTTCTGAGCATTTCTCATTCTGTTGAATTGTCTAACCTGTTTTGACCTGTTTGCCTGCTTTTAACCACTGTTTGTGCATTGCATTACATTTATATTGCCTTCCTGTTGCCGACCTCTGACTGTTCTTCAATGGACTGTTTGCTGTCTCTGCCCTCTCTGGATTGATTACTGCTTTGATACCTAGATGCCGATCTCTACCTGTTTGACTACTGCATTGTTTACTGCCTTGCCTTTTATTCCAATAAATGCTGCATATGGATTGAGAACCTGACTCTGACTCGTTCACATTGACAGTGATGAATATATATGACTGTATATATTTGATTGTATCTGCTCACAATATTCTGTTCCCTTTCAATGCGTCAGTTGCTGACACTTTGGGGAAACTCAGTTTCTCCGAAATACCGTAGCCTGATTGAATCACATTTGTGCACCACAATCTTTGAGTGAGCTCATGCCAGCTCATATCTCCCCCCGCCCCCATTCTTCCACAGCTTCCGACGTGGAGGAACGGCCGACAGAGGACTCCGCCCCCCTGCCACCTAAGGAACAGAGTGATGTCAGGCCCAGTTTGTACGCCAAACTCATCTGCATTCTCACCAAAGCTGTAGAGTTTGCCCCACCAAATGTGCGTGCATCCAGTCATTTCACTGCAATTATAGAAAACCAACAAATAAAAAACAAACACCCCCACAAAAAGAGCACGTCTTCTCTGATTGTGGTGCTCCAGTCCCTGGCCACTCGAATCCAGGCTTGGGAAGCCACTCAAGGTGTGTCAATTTGCGGGTCCTGGAGATGATCTAACAAGGTTACTCGCTTTGAGGGCATGGTCAAGTCCAGGGTCGGTCGGTCCAGGGCAGCCAAGCTCACAGTTTGAAATAGAGTGTTTACTAGCGAAGGGCACTGTACAAAAAGGTCCCAGCAGCAAGTCAGGCTTCTACAGCCGCTACTTCCTTGTTCCAAAGAAGGATGGCGGCCTCAGGCCCAGCCTAAATAAGATGGCCATTCAGAATGTTAACATTGAAGCAAATCCTCTCACAAGTTTGCCCGGGGGATTGGCTTTTCTTGTTGGATCTGAAAGATGCTTATTTTCATATCCACGTATCCCTGCTCCTCAGCCATTTGGAATGCTTGGGGTTCAGGATCAATTTGTCCAAGAGCTCACTGTCTCCCAGCAAGTGAATCTCATTCCTAGGGGCAGTCATTGATTCGCCCCAAATGTGGGCCTGGCTATTGCTAGAACGCTATCTGAAAATTCAGAAGCTGGCAGCGTCATTTAAGTTCAGGGTCTTGGTTCTCATCAAGACTTTCCAGAGGCTGCTAGGCCAAATGGATGTGGCCTCCTCAGTAGTGCCTCTGGGCCTTCTGCACATGCAACCTCTCTATTTTTGGCTTAAGGCCTGCGTTCCGTCACACCTGAGATGGCTCAATCTCAGGATGGACCACAGCTGTATCAATGTGTGTGATGGTAGCCCAGCGTTCGGTTCCTGGTTGGGCCAGGAACGGCATTGGCACATCAAATGCCTGGAAATGATGACAGTTTTTCTGGCACTGAGAGCCTTCTTACCAGATGTGAAGGGGCACCATGTCCTGGTCCGTTCGGACAACATAAACCCTCAGGGAGGTCTCAGGTTAACAAGATGCCTCCTACTGTGGGCACATCGCAACATCTGCTCTATGAGGGCAGTGCACGTGCCGCACAGAATGAACCAGAGGGGGGACATGTTGTCCCGGAGTATCTCCAGGAAAATGGAGAATGGAGACTTCACCCCCAGACGGTTCAGATGATTTGGAACATCTTCGGACAAGTGGAAGTCAACCTCTTTGGAGAAGACTTTCAAGAGCTCTCAGTGAACATTTCCTGCCTTGATTTTGGCCCCAATGACTGTAAGGTCATACTCAAGCCAAGGCATGTACCTAGGGTGCTTTCCACTCCGTTCAAGGCACAGGTAATAACTCTCTTGGCTCTCCTGGACTCCTTGCCAATGCTTATGCCTGGTCCGGGCCCTTATGGCATTTTTCCACTGCATGGTACAGCACGGTACGGCTCGGTACAGTTCACTTTTTGGGGGTTTTCCACTGGGTACAGTACCTGGTACCTGGTACTTTTTTTAGTACAATCTCGGTTGGGGTTCCAAGTGAACCGTACCGTTACCAAAATGTGACGTGTAAACTCTGTTGATCATGGATTGGCCGGAGAGAATCGTCACTACCTGCGTCACTGAACTTGCGACACAAACACAAAAGAACCGCTAGATTTAAATCAGCACAGCCAGCGAAGCATCGAACGCAACCGTTTTGAACAAGCGCACCTTTTTTTAACAACCAAAATGTTTTGTTGTCTGTTGCGGAAGTACAGACGTTCCTCTCGTTGATAGCAGAGGAGCGGATCCAGCTAAAGCTTGAAAGGTCTGCACCAACCAACAACAAAATTACTGACAATTGAAAATTTGACATTTTCTTACCAGTTCTGCTGAGTTTCTCATCTAGAGTCTCCTGCAGGTGAACCAGTGCTTTCCTCAGAGGTTCCACACTCAGCTGAGTGTCACTAATACTGATCTCAGCACAGCTGCTGGTGTATGTAGGTCTGATCAGCGATGGGTAAATCTACAGCAGGAGAGAGCAGAAATCCCTCAGCATTGGGAGTGTTGTGCTGTGATGTCAGCAGACAGAAGTACACTGACCTGTAAGAGGTGCAGGTGATCCTCAGTGTGTGAGAGCTGCTCCAGCTCAGTGTCCTCTTTAGCTCAGTGATCTCCTGCTCCAGCTCTTTAATCAGCAGCTTAGCCTGCTTCTCTGCTGCTTTCTGCTTCTGCTCCATCATCTCCAGCAGCTCAGACTGACATCTCTCAATGGAGCGCATCAGATCAGTGAAGAGCTCAGTACTGTCTGCTTTCTCTTTTTCTGATGATTCCTGTTAGATCAATCAAAAAGAAAAAAAAAACTTTTATTAAATTTATATTTTTTAAATAGTTCACCCAAAAATTACAATTCAGTCATAGTTTACTGTAAGTAGTGAGATGACAAGTGCATTATATTTCAATCCTTTTAAAGCCAAACATTAGCTTTGTGTGACCAAAAGACCAAAACTTTAGTCATTAATCAATGAAAATCTTCCATCAACAACATTGGACATTTGAGATTTTGATGGGATAAGTAGGGAATAATGACTTAAAGGGGTC